CCTTACCTCGACAGAACTACAATCCGGTTATGCGAAAAAGAAAAATTCCAAAGAAATAAAAGGTGGGAGTTCCGCCAAAAGGGTACAAAAGACAGCTAAACGAGAAACAAAAAAACTCTTCGGGAGCGAACTTTATTAACGGGTTTAGTAAAATTTGACTCTGAAAATGCCAAATTAAAGTAAAAAAGAAAATATCAGGGAGCAAACTACTGTCACGGGCAGATGCAGTGAGATGAAGAAACATACTATTCAAAAGATTGTGTGGCGAAATTAGTATCAGCGCTGCGATCCATAATGGCAGATGCGTATTCTGGAACAGTGCTGTTGGCTGCAAATTTTTCAGCGGCGTGAACAGATTATCCAGAAACGGTGGGACGGAATCCAATCGCCACGACGATGAAATGAGGTACAGCGTATGCGCACAGTTTGTTAAAATTTCTTCGATTAATTCACGTAACTGCAAAAAAAATTCTTTTTTGTGCAATATCACAACTTTTTTAAAAGCCAGAGAGCACTGGCAATTTGAAAATTAAAAAAATACGTTCCCAACCTAAGAAACTAAAAACCGAAGCTATGCGAAAAGATTTCATCTTTTTTCTTTTTGACAACGGGTGAAATCGTTTATTAAAAACGATGTTCATTTCACTGTTAAGGTAATAATCTTTCCAAAATACAAAACGAAGGCCGGGATATTCAGCAGATTGGTCATAAAGCGATACGACTTTGTCAAAACAACTGGAAAAATTGCCCGGACTTTTTTTAGCTGGAAAACAAGGAATTTTTTTGAATTAAAAGCTGACCCAAGTATTTGGCTGATATGTCACAACACCTACGTTCAGGAAAAAACGAATATCAGGAAAAACAAGAACATACTATTTCCTGATGTTTCGGGCCGCCCAGTCCATTCACATGTGGCTGATGAAGATTCTGCAGCTCAGTCTGCACGCTCACTGTTTGCAGAACTTCTAAATGCAAAAAAAGCAATTTAAATCAGAAAAAAAATGTGAAAAATAACCCAGTTCTCAGTGAAAAAGAACTCTTTACTGAACAGCAGGAGCAGTGAGCCGACTGTAGCAACCAGGCTGACCCCAGAAGCATAAATGGCAAAAGCGCGATAAATTACAGCATAACAGGACTATAAACCTCTAAAAAATTCAGTTCTGGAAGCATGCGCTAATGATAAATGAGCATAGCAAAGCAGTGCGGTAAATTATCACGGTACGAATATACCAAAACATAGTTTTGAAATATGCTAAAAATATCAATGCCGTCTGTACGACCGGTGTGGGGGGCTCATTTTGGTGTTGCTACTGGGATGAACCCAGGCGTAGTTATACAGGCCCAATTTTGAAGCAGACCATTTGATTCTCACATTTACCGAAAAGTTAGCGTAAAAAAACCAGATAACACGAGTACCTATCAGACGTTTAACGAATGCAGTATCGGTAAGTAGAGCATTGAGGGTGCTGGTAAGCGCATCTGATTTCGGAATCTCTTCGTTGATTTTCAATTCTGCGAGAGCCTGCAAAAATTTCCTATGGTAATTAATCACCAACCAATTTAGATAAGATAAGCGCGAAACTACCAAAAATATATTTTAATTTTGCAA